ACGACATCCTTCAACAAGGTCAGTACCTATAATTTCCCCATGTGAACAAGCCAGACTGGCTCCAAAGGGGGCCTTTGGCAAAATGTTATGTGATGGGCCCTCTCCTATGTAGGTGGGCCTCAAAGGGCTAACCTGGTTCCAGGCAGTAACAATATTGGGGGCAATTGATCTGATGTTAGCAGCCCAGGGTTGCTTGGGAATTCTTTAAAGTAAAAAGTGTGGTTTTGAAATCTGTGACTGAAATGGGCAGTTTTGAAAGGTTCAGTCCACCATATTGATTCAAAATGGCACCCAATTTTATCCAAACATTGAAATAAACCTGCTTCTTGATCTCATGAACCATCACACAAAATTTGGTTGTGCTATCTTTCCAAACGGAAAGTGAGGAGACAAACAACTTAAATTAAGGCAAAATTAAATTTTACAACTTTCCAAAAGTTACAGTAGAAGCATAATACTATCCACCATTCATCGCCATCATGGTGATGCTCTGTCTGTTGCTCTGTCTCTCTCTCTCTCTCTCTCTCTCACACACACACACACACACACACACACACCCTTTCTAGCAGAATTCCATTCAGCTTGATTTGTGTGAATTCCAGCATGTCTTTGATAAACTGTGCACTGTACAGTGTAATGTTATCACAGTGTGCTCTGATGCCTCTGTCCTACTTAGCTGTCTTTTGCACTCCAGAGGTCAGAGGTCAAAGCACTCCCTTTGACATAATGCACAGTGACACTGAGAGCAGTTAAGGTGTACATCCAAGAGGAATAAAGCTTCGGAGGAGAGAAGTTGAGCTGGGGCCACCCCAGAACAAAGCAACAGGAGACAGAAACATGCTTGTGCGCCTGGGGGCACGAACAATTACATTTTTTGGCAGTTGCCTTCCAGTTGACTTTATCTCGCTGTCCCGGGAATACAGTAAATGCTGCTTGTTAAAAACCTATCAGATAAGAATTCCATGTAATTTCCAGCTCCTTGAACAGCCTGAGATAAGTGTTTCCTCAGGCTGGTTTCCCAGTTCTGAACAAATCCACATATGCTTACTGACCACCCACGTGCCAACGCATACCTGTTGCAAAATGGATTCGATTAAGACGCATAGATGCTTAAAAAAATTCCCTTTAAATGTAGCTGTGGTCATATCTCATAAGCATATTACTCCAAGGTCTGCATTATCTTCCTCAAGCAAGCTATAAGTTTGAGGTTCGGACAACGTATTTATTGAGCATTCATCCTGATACGCTTGCACAAAGCTTACATGGAGGTTAGATTATATCTATTAAGCATTCGTTCCAATTTCTTTGCAGGGAGGTTATATGACAATGAACATTCATCCTGCATTCACCCTGGTTTGATTACAAGCTGTTTATACACCTTCCCGTTATTCATTTCTTCATCCCCCACTTTTCAATGCATTCCCCCATGACTTTTCTAACCAGAGAAAGTCCATTTCCTTTTAAAAGTGAATTTGTTGCACTAGGGTGACAGAGCACCTTAATTCACTGTGATTCCACAAGCCTTATTTCCCTGGCATGTGGTTGAATACCAATTTAAACAGTCATGGCTTCCCCCAGAGAATCCTGGGAAGTGTAGCTTCTTAAGGATGCTGAAAGAGTTGTTAGGAGACCTGTATTCCCCTCACAGTGCTAGAGTTCCCAGAGTGATTTAACAATTGATCACTCTGACAACCGTAGCTCACGCAGGGAATAAAGATCTCCTAGCAATGCTCAGCACTCTTAACAAAGCACAGGATTCTTTGGGAGAAGCCATGACTGTTTGAAGTGGTACGATACTGCTTTAATTGTATAGAGCAGATGGAGTCTTTGACTGGTGGCGGCTCCTTGGCAGAGGTCTTTTACATAGCATACTACCCAGTTTATCAGTCTTTTAAAAATGGAGATATAATACCAGGAGTTGAATCTGGAACCCTCCACATGCAGGGGATGTATTCTACCACTGAGGCATGGTTCCTTTATGAAAATCACATGGTATATATAGAAATTGCAGAGCGACTTTGGCTTGTGGCAAGTGCAGTGACATGTTTTATTTTGCCGCCAATCTTGGGCCATTGAATATTATGGCATGTAACAAATCTCCCTAAGACAGCAGCTTGCCATGCAGCATTTTTGGTATTGGAGAAAGTGGTTCAAGAAACAAGTCTAAGAGCTTGGAACTAGTAGCACTGTTTCGTTTCATTTTCAGACTCTGCCAAATTATGTATATCCAAAGTTGGTGTGCTTTTGTAAACACAAATCTTACCTGAAGGGACCAATCCATACAAGTGACAACCCGGTGTTTAGACCAGTGCTCATCGTAGAACTGACGGTTAAAGGAAAGGTTAGCTCCAGCTTGGACATCTCTGTGTGGATTTGAAAAAGAGTTACACTTAAAGTTATGGTTGGTTTACAATTCCAGCCTTGGCGTCAGCAGCTAGCATGCTAAAGCAGATGCTGAAGCTCCAGTCACCCAGTTTGTGCCCACCACAGCTGACTCTTTCCCTGGGCTCTAAACACTTGGCAGCTGGTTCTGCAGGCCTCCATTTTGATTTTCCACAATGCTCTGGAAAACTCAAAATGTCAGGTCCTCCAGGGCATTGTGGGAAATCAAAATGGTGGCTCAAACATAAGAAGGGACCCACCACAGGGCACTTTGCCCAGGTCTCACTTCGCACAATGCCAATTGTTTTAAAAGATTTCCAATCATTTATTTCCCCTACTATGCTTCCTTAGCTAGTTAGTGTCTTGGGACTTCTTAAGACTGCGTCTTCTCTGCACCCCACCCTGAAAACTATTTTGTCTGAAGTAGAAAATTGGAGCAGCAAAAAATATTTCCTCTTTAACATAGTAAATCCATCCTTGTGTCAGTGTATGCCTACTGTGTCAATGCTGTGCCTGACCAATACCTCATGCTGTCCCCAGTGCAAATCCACATACATTATTCAAGGCGTATAATTGACCCACGTGGCAGAAGGCCTGAAGCGACACTGGACACTTCAAAGCACCTGCATAGTTGTCTCTCTTTTTTTAGTTTGTTGCACCTGACTTTAATTGTGAGTAGGAGTCAACCTAACAAGACATTCCAGACTGTAGGCTTCATGAATGAAGCTACAAAACATACCAAAGAGTCAGGGGTGACCTCCAGCAGGTAGCAGAGGGCAGCAAAAATATCTCCTGCTGCCCCTCTGGAGACCCTCAATGTTGGTATTCCACTGCATATTTTGGAGCTAAACCCAGGGCTGTAGAAACCACCTCCAATGTGGAGCCAAGCCCACCTTAAAGGATTGATTTTTTTGGTCTGTAACTAGGAGCTTCACATTAAGCCAACTATCCCCAGAAGAGGAACTTTAAGGGTGAACAGATGAATCATATTATACATGCTCTCACATACTATAGCAGCTATCTGTTGTGCATACAATACTACACCGCCACAACGTTTTCAACCATAAAACATCTTGGGTGCCTTGGCAGGAAGGTGGATTATAGAAATGTCATAAATACATGGATAATAAACACAAGGGTTTATTGATGGCTCTCCATCTGACCTTCAAGACTCACCCCAGGCCATGCCCTTCAAAGGCCCTACTCTGAACCCTCCCTGACTGCTTTTGCCTATTCTTGAATTATGAGAATGCCTCTTGCCTGCCTAGATGGATGGCAAGATGTGGATGTGCATGTGAAGGAACCTCTGGTTTTTGCATGGCAGGACAATAGCATACTTTTGGCCACACCCACTTTCGTCTCTGGCCACACCCACTACTAGCATATGGTTCTCCCCAGGAAGGCTGCCCATGAGGAAATGTGTGTGCCTAGGACTCAAAAAGGCTCTTCCCTCCCACTCTAACACAAATATTTGTTTGTTTGCTTTTTATCACGTTGAAAATAATAAAATAAAGACTGACCCATCTTTCTCTTCCACATCTCTGCCACCATAGTCAAAGAAAATGTCAGAATCTTCAGCTAGCGCTCTCTCAATCACACGTATCGTCCGGTCAAAAAATATAAGAAACTCTTCTGAGTGGAGAATCTGCTGCTTTTCTTCCTCTGTCAGTTCCCTGGGAGGAGCTTACAAAAGCATATTGGCAGCGTTAAGCCCACAAGGATTTAAATATCTCCAACTGAATTAAACAAAGTCTTCAGGAAAGAAAGGAAATATTCCTATGAAAGTCATAGTAACGTTGGTAGGGTCGAGTGGTTTGCTTCCTTCTAAAGAATCGCTTCTGAATCCTCTCTAAATGGACAGCTACGTAATGTTAGAATGCAGCCTCTATACAGAAGGTACCCTATATCGTGCATATTTATTATTCCGGAAAAGAAAATACTTAGGATCCAAAATAAAATAAACCCCACGTTCAGATTTCAGGAAACGTTTTTGACGGATGTATGTTGCAAAACTGAACTTGGAAAAGCATTAAACGGCATTTCACAAAGAAGTGCTCTTTTAACACAGAGACCATTTTCAACCAAAGCTTTTAAAAAACGTTCTCAGCTTATTAAAAGGCATGCTTTACTTCACTGTATTTAGGTTTCTTAACATGAAGACATAAGACCCTTCTAGAGTAGGGTTCATTTGGTTTTTTGCATGTGCACTCTTTTTGTAACAAGTCACTGGCATGATAATAGCGCATTAGTGGTGGCTTTATACTGGGTCATCCACACATCATACTGCTTTATCAGTTGTTCTGTGACGCTATCCCAGTGTTAATTGTATTATTGCCTTCGGGGGGGGGGGACATACTTGTGCTATAGTGCAACAAGAAGTGCAGAACATTTGTGGTTTGGAAAGCTACAGAATTTATGCAGGAAACTACAGGCTACGAACCTATTGCAAATGAAGCAGTGTGATTGCTCCAAAACTTCTGCAAGTACAAATGGTATTGAAAACTTGATTGCGTATAGCATCTCCAGTAACACCATGAGCTCAAATCATCATGAATGCTCAATCAAAAGGGCATCTGGAGGGGCCCTTAGGCCAGGATCTTAAGGGCCAAAAACACATGTGGGAATGTAGCTCAGTGGTACAGCAAGTGCTTTTCATGCAGAAGGTTGCAGGTTCAATCCTTGGCCTCTCCAAGTGGAGCTGGGAAAGATCCCTATCTGGGATGCTATTCCTAGCAGATGTCATTGGAGAGGAAAAGATCCATGCCTACTTCACGAGAGCACACAACTTTCTTCTCTTATGCTCACCACTTCCTGAGATGATTGAACATGATGGGTTGTTTTCTGGTCCCTTATGTTTCCCTCTGCTGCAATAAAATAAAATACCTTCTGTGTAGAAGTTTACAAGCCAATAAAATGAAATGAAAAGCAGAATACAGCAAGAAGGCAGCACTTTCCAAGATTTACCCAGATTATCGTTTTCTATGAACATCTGTGAGATGCATCTATTCCGAAAAGGTAGAGAGTGGAGTTCTTGGGGAAACCCCGTAACGATGGAACCTTATTCCCACTGGGAGCCTTCTAGGCCCAATTTTCTGGCAGGGTTAAAAGACCTTTCAATTTAAGCACACAAGAAAATAGCAGGTAGCCATACTGGTCCATGGGAGGGGAGGGGTGTGTGCAAAAGTTAACAGTAGGGTAATAGGTTTAAATGGCTTTATTGGAGCCAACTAAAACATCACAAAGCACTGAGAAATCTTCCTCAGATTTCTCTGAGTTCCTCAGAACGGATGTTAAAATGGAGAGTGAGGGTGGATAAAAAGATGTTCCTAGGCATGGTGGAAAACTTCCAGTCTTCAGCTTGTAAGAGGAAGTAGAGGAGATTTTATTAGATGACAAAGGTTCTGTAGAACTGAGGTGGCATCTTCATCTTACAAAAAAACTGCCTAAGACTTTTCTTTACCAGGTTCAGGAACATCATTTTGGTTTGTTGTTGCTCTTATTTTTACTATGTATTTTGTGGTTTTTATATTGTAATTTTATGTTGTGAATCGCCCTGAGATCTGAGGATGAAGGGTGGTAGACAAATTTAAGTCAGGGATGGCGAACCTCAGCCCTGGAGACCAAACGTAGCCCTCTTGGTCTCTCTGTCCAGCCCTCAGGACTCATCCTAGGCCACACCACCTCTCTGTAGGCCTTGACTGGCCCTCCTGGAAGGCCCTCCCCAACGGCCCTGAACTGTGATCAAGCTTCTTGCTTGCCTGCGTGGAATATATCCTACTATACAAAGCAAATTGCTCATACATCCATTGCTCCACTCGGTTTTTGCGCTTTTGGCCCTACCCACCACTGACATAGGACTCACAGAGAATGTGGCCCTCAAGCTGAAAAAGGTTCCCCACTTGAAAAAGTTTCCCCACCCCTGGACAATGTCAAACCATGGCTTAGTGTGAATACACAGGGACCAAGAAAGGAGATCACAGCCATTTTGGTTCTCCTTTTCTCCTCCTTCTACTGTGTCGTATGACCAATGGTCAGAAGTGAAGGGAGAGCCACATAGGTTCCTGATGCTCATTCAGGTGACTCTACTGATAGGGATGGAATGACCTGCCAGTTCTGGTTCTCTTTGTTCCTCATTTTTCCAAACTTAAATTCAGTTCTTTTAAAAAAAGAAATCCTCATGAAAATTCACCAGCATTTTAGTGTGAATTTCTCCTAACAAATACGTTTTTATATATAATTTTGACTAATGTACAAAAGTAACTTTCCCTGATATGGTGTGGTTTTATATGTTACTTCCACTAATATCTTCATTTTTATGCACCCTTTCCCCTAATATATGCATTTATGCAAACAATGCTTGGTTGGAGAACTGCATCACAAAATTCAGACAAGTGTGAATTTTGAAGGATGGCTAAGTTTCGGTTTGCATATTATTTCAGGAAGAGCAAATTTGATAGATTTGGTTTTAAATGCAGACCGGATAAAATACCTCCTCTATCCCTACCTACAGTAGATGTTATCTTGTGGTTATTTTGGATTCTTATGTTTACTCAGAAGAAGTTCTATTGTGCTTAATGGTGCTTACTCCTGAGTATATGAGAACAAGATTGCAGCCTTAGCCTAGCTTTGGGGTGGGAGGTAGAAGAAAGTTTGCAATTCTTCACCCATTTTTAAAATATGTGCAGAGGCTGCAACAGAAGCATAAAATATGATGGGTTAAAATCCAGGTCCCATTTAAGACTTTGGCAAAACAGCCTTTTATTTCACTGGAGCAATGACTGCATGCAATATGTAGCCAGAAACCACAGGGAACTATCTGCTATACATAAACACAAAAACATAATTGTTTTAGACAGTGTAGCAAAAAGTAAATGAGAAAGAAAACCAGAAGACTCATTTATTACATTGCCCTAAAAAAAAGAGAACAAGATAGCACTATGCCAACCCAGAATTTACATGATATTTGAAAATATCAGATTGTAGTTAGTCTAGGTGTTATAAATGTATCTAACACACATAATTACATGAAACAAAAAGAGGGATAAAGATGCACTGTCTTGGATTCAAAGAACCGAGTGTAGTTTTTTGTACACTCGTTGAGACTTTGCCACCATTCTTCTTTATTACTTTGTAAGAGTTCTAACCAACAGCAATTTGAAAGTGGGCTACAACTAAAACAGTTTCAAAATTCACAGTGCAATTATTCTTTTTTTTAAAAGCAGGATAAATCACAATTAGCTAACTAAAAAACATGAATGCTGACATTAGATCCCACTGAAAGCCTGGGTGAATAACCAGGTCTTGGACTGTTGTCTCATGGTGCTGCCATGTCACAGAGAAAAAGAAAGACTAAAGTTTGGATGGCGCCACTGAGAAGGCTCCCGCCTGCCACGTTGCCAAAGATGCCACAGCCAAACCAACTCTGCTGGTAGAGCTCAACAAAAGGGCAGATCTATATGAGAGAAGGCATTCCTTGAGGTATCCAGGCCCAAGGTGTATATGGCTTTGTCAGTCAGTGCAAGTATCTTGAACCAGGCTCAGTAGCAGATAGCCAGTGTTGTTATTTCCAGATTGGTGATATATGTTTGCAGTAAAGGTAAAGGTAAAGGGACCCCTGACTGTTAGGTCCAGTCATGGACGACTCTGGGCTTGCGGCACTCATCTCGCTTTATTGGCCGAGGGAGCTGGCGTACAGCTTCCGGGTCATGTGGCCAGCATGACTAAGCCGCTTCTAGTGAACCAGAACAGCACACGGAAACGCCGTTTACCTTCCCACCAGAGCGGTACCTATTTATCTACTTGCACTTTGACGTGCTTTTGAACTGCTAGGTTGGCAGGAGCAGGGTCCGAGCAACAGGAGCTCACCCCATCGCAGGGATTCGAACTGCCAACCTTCTGATCAGCAAGTAGGTCACCCTAAAAGAAACATGTCTGCCACATTCTGCACTGGCTGCAGCTTCCTGAACAGCCTCAGGGGCAGCCCCATGCAGTATGCATTGCAATAGTCCAGGCTAGAGGTTACCATGAATCAGCAGGACAAGGCTCTCCCTGTCCAGGAACGGTGCCATGGTGGTCATGAAGTCCCAGGTTTGTGCAGTGAAGCTAACTTCGGCGTGAATGTTGAAGCCTCCCAGAATGATTGTGCTGGGATCCTCCAGCATCACACCTGAGACTGCCTCTGCCACCTCGTGTAAGGATGTCCCTGGGCAGCAGGTTGGGTGGTATACCAGCAAGCAGCATCTGTCTTTCTGGTCCAATGTTGGGTACAATTCCTCAAGTCTTGCACTGGAGCAAAAAGGTAAAGGAGATAGGATTCCTAGGGGTAATGGTGACTCCTGCCCCAAACTTCCAGGCTGGACTGGTCCTGTATCAAATACCCAGCTGAGCAGAGCTGAGTCAGATCAACGCTACCCACCTTGTACAGCCAGGTTTTGATACTACATGCTGAGTCAGGACCTTCATCCACAATCAACCGGAAGTGTTTAAGCAGAAATATTAATAGTCCTGCTCACTTTGCTAAAATTAAATGTAGATTGAGGAAGTTTTAGGGATTTATTAGAGCAACGGTGTTGGCAAGATGGGCTAGCGAGTTACATAATGTGATTAATTAGTATTTTGCTTTCTAGGAAAAAAGACTTTCTAGGAAAAAAAACTATGCTCTTTTTTAAAGTTGCACATATACAGAGCATTTTTATTCACATTGCTTCTTAAAATGAGATGTTGGTGTGACTTGAATGATCCGAGGTTCTTTTAAGGAAAAAGGAAAAAGAAGGGAAAGTTCAGCTCCCTGAGCTATAACCAGTTTTTAGCCCAGAGCAAATTTTTATGGCTGGGTTATAAAATCCTTCAAAAACAAGATTCATAATGGAAGTGCTGACACAGGCTTCAACTGCTATACAGAAGTGTGAATGGCGCCGCTATAATATCTATTAAGGATTCTTTAAAAGTTGGGGGTTGGGGGGGGGATAGTGTCTCTTGCTTTGCATAAAAAAGAAAAGAAACCAGAGGACTTTATGCCAACATAAACATGCATTTAACCCATTATATACTAATTTGCAGGAAAGCCCTTAATTCTGAATAAGCATTGCAGAACCCAGTACCAACAGGAAATGTTAGCCTAAATTCCTGTTTTGCCTCTAACATGTTTTTAATCACTTCCATGAAGCACGCATGAGGGTTACAAAGTCAGAAAAGGAAGGGATTGTATGAGGGAAGCAAATGTGATTATGCGATAAAAACGAGAGCAGAGAAAAATGGAAACCTTCGTAAGGAAGACTCCTGGTATTGGTATTTTCTCTTAGTTATTTCACATGCTCAGGCTGCTGTCCTATTCACAGTTGCCTGGGGCTAAGCTCCCTTTAACTCTTTGGAACTGACTTCAGAGTTAATGTGAGCAGGGAGGAAAGTTGGTTGCTTCTAAAATTATTTGGCTTGGCCTATGCGGCAATTCCAATAGTTCCAGAGCTAAAGCTGCTTAGTCTTGAAGGAAAGGCACTCTGCACATGCTCAGAGAAACACAGGAAGCTGCCTTACACTTAAGTCAGACCACCAGTGGTGCATCAAGCTCAGCGTGTACAATGATTGGCAGCAGCTTCCCTGGGTTTCAGACAGAAGCCTTCCCCAGACCTACCTGGAGACGCCAGCGACTGAAACTGGGACTTTCTGCATGCAAAGAAGATGTTCTGTCACTGA